GTGATATATTTATACAATGGAATACTACGCTGCATTGAAAAACAAGGAACTCACGCAATATTATTCAAAATGGGTGACCCTGGAGGACATCATGCTGAGTGAAATATCTCAGTCACAAAGGACAAATACTGCATGATACCACTGTTATAAAACAGGACTGACATCGGGGTTGGAGGGAGACTGAGAAAGATGGGATAAGTAATGTATACGGCATTGAAACCGATGAGGGAGAAAACTGTTTAAAAGGGATATATGGTTAGGTATTACTGTCATGACAGGAGTCCAGAACGAAGGCTGCCTAGTGGAGTGGACTTGGAAGGGCAGGTGGGGGTTGTAAAACAATGGCAAATATTTAATTTTGCTTTTCAAAGAGAAGAATGCACTGCAGGCGTGGGGGGTGCGGATGAGTGAGTAGGGAGAAAGTGTAAGAATGAATGAGTGGAAATCCAAATTCTCTGAAAATTTTCATTAAAATTAATAAAAAAAAGAAAGGTGTGCATCAGGGTTGTACCATTTCTCCATACCTGTTCAATCTGTATACTGAGCAAATAATTTGAGAGGCTGGAATTATGAAGAAAAATGTGGCATTAAGATTAAAGGAAGAGTCATCAACAACTTGTATTATGTAGGTGTCAACCTTGCATGCTGAAAATGAAGAATACTTAAAATGCTTGCTGCAGAATATCAAAGATTACTGACTCCAATATGAATTACATCTTAAAATAAATAAACAAAAATTCTCACCACTGGGCATATAGGAAACAATGTAGTAGAGAAAAGATTGAAATTGTTAATTATTTACTCCTTCTTGCATCCACAGTAAGCACTCTTGGTACCAGCAATCCAGAAATCAAAAGGCATGTTGCTTTAGGAAAATATACTTTCAAGGGGCTCTCCAAAGTGTTAAAGAGCAGTGATGTCAGTTTAAAGACTAAGGTGTACCTGATCTAAGCCATAGTTTTTCCTTTACTTGCTATGCATCTGAAAGTTGGACATTGACTAAGGATGACAGAAGAAGAAGCAATGACTTTGCATTGTGACAATGGAGAAGAGTATTGAATATTATACAGGCTACCAAAACTGTAAACAAGTAAGTCTTGGAGAAAATATTATCAGGGTGTTCTTTAGAAGGAAGGATGGTGAAACATCATCTCATATACTTTGTGCATGTGGTTATTAGAGGCCATTCCTTGAAAGAGACATCATGCTTTAAATGGGGAGGATCACTATAATGCAGGAAGATCCTCAACAGGATGGATATGAACTCAAGTATAGTAGAGATGATAAGGATGGAAAGGACAGGGCAAGTTTCTGGTCCCTTTTTCATAGGGTCACTATAAGTCATAGTCGGCTCCATAGCACCTAACAATAATTATGAGACATACATTCCCCCCCCCATACTTTATCATCTCTGCTATGAGGAACGAATCTTAAAAACACCATTGGCTTAGACAGGAATCATTTTACATTAAGACCTAAAAAATGTGAAGAGTGCCAGAGCACTCTTTGGAGGCAGAGATGATTTAACTTTACCTCACATACTTCAGGCATGTTACTGGGAGGAGTTATTCCTTGAATGGAGAGTGACAAAATGCTTGGAAGGGTGGAAGGCCAGTGAAGGAGAGGAAGACAGTTATTTAGGTGGATTGGCATGGTAACTGCCTCAGTTGGCTCTAGTGTGCCAGGAAGTGTGAGGATGGCACAGGGTAGGATATGGTTAAGATCTGCTGCTCATAGAGTCACTATGAATTGTACTTGACTCAACGGCACTTAACAACAACAACATGGCCTTCATCAGGCGTACCTTGGTCTCTAGACTGACATCACTGCTCTTTATCACTCCACTCTGGAGATGTCCTTGACAGCAGATTTTCCAGATGCAACTTGTTATTAGTCCTGACTGCTGATGTCAAGGGTATTGATTGTGGATCTGAGTAAGATAAAATCATTAAAAACTTCAGTCTTTTCTCCATTTGTCATGATGCTGTTAGTGGGCCTCATGGTAAGGTTTTCTTGATGTTGAGATGCAATATATTGAAGGCTGCAGTCCTTAATCACCTGCAGCAAACACTTCAAGTCCTTTTCAGTTTTGGCAAGCAAGGCTGTGCAATCACAGGTTGCTGATAAGTCTTCCTCCAACCCTTATTTAAATTCTTCTTCATAAAGTCCATTCTCTCCAATGATCTGCTCTGGTGGCTTAGTCTTAAGGCATTTCCCACCAACACAAAGGTATGCAGTTCAAATCCACCAGGGATGCTCCACTGGAGAAAGATGGCTATCAACTCCAGCACAATTTACTACTCCTGAAAACCCACTGGAAGGCTAGCTGTGAGTCGGTTCCAACGCCTTGGTACACAACAACAGCATTGCATATAAACATATTTGTTGTTGTTGTTAGGTGCCGTCGAGTCCTACAACTCATAGTGACCCTATGAACTCAGTCCTGACCTGCACCATCCTCCTTCTTCCTGACACTCTGGAGCCCATTGCAGCAGTCACCATATCAATTCACCTGGTTGAGGGTCTTCCTCTCTTTCACTGACCCTCCACCTTTCCCAACATCATGTCCTTCTCCAAGGAATAGTATCTCCTAGCAACATGACCAAAGTAGGTGAGGAAAAGCCTCATCATTATTGCCTCCAAAGAGCACTGTGGCTGCACCATCTCCAAGCTGTTCGTTCTCTTGCCCGCCCGGGATGTTCAGTACTCTTCTCCAACACCACAGCCCAAAGGTGTTAATTCTTTTTTTCTATCATCCTTATCCATTGCTCATGTCTCAGATGCATAGTTAGTAATTGGAAAGTATATGGCCTGAATCAGACACACCTTAGTTCTCAAACTGACATCACTACTCCTCAATAATTTGGAAAGGTCCCTAACTGCAGATTTACCCCATGAAATGCATCTCTTTATCTCCTGACTGCTAGTACAGAGGATGATAATTGTGGATCCAAGCAAGATGAAGCTGTTGACAGTTTCTATCTCCTCTCCGTCCATTATGGAATTGCCTGTTGGTCCAGTGGGAAGCCTGCATTCCTTGATCTTCTGCACCAAGTGCTTCAAGTCCTCCTCACTTTCAGCAAGTAAGGATGTGTCATCTTCATGATGAAGGTTATTGATGAGTTTCCCTCCAATGCTTATGCCACTTTCTTCTTGATAGAGTCCAGCTTCTCAGATAATTTGCTCAGCATACAGATTCAACAAGCATGGAGATAGAATACAATCCTGATGCACTCCCTTCCCAGTTCCAACCATGCAGTGCTCCCCTGCTCTGTTCACACAACAGCCTACTGATCCAGGTATAGTTTCCGTATGAGCACAATCAAGTGATCTGGGATTCTCATTCTTATCAATGTTAGCCAAAACTTGTCGTGATCCACACAGTCAAAAAGACAACTTTACATGTGAATTTCACCTGATGGACTGTACAGGAATCAGATAGACTACAGTTGTTGAAGAAATTGTTGGAGAAGCTCAATATCAGCAGTCAAAATGAGGCCAGGGGCAGACTGTGGGTCAGATCACCAATTACTCATATGCAAATTCAAACTGACCCCAAAGAAAGTAAAAATAAGCCTATGGGAACCAAGATACAATATTCGAATCAATTCCTTCTGAATGTCATAATCATCTTAATAGGTTTGAGGCATTGAATACCAATGGGCAATCTCTCCTTTGTTGTGATTTCCAGCTTCTGAAATCCACTGTAGGGTCAGCTATGAAATTGGTTCTGCCTTGATGACAATGAACAAGCAGCATAACTGTGGGGAAGCTATTGACCAGAAGTGGGTTAAGGCAAAGAATGATATCACTAAAAAGTCTATATTGCTCAGAACCTCTCCTTACTCTCAACAAATTAATTATATAGTAAAAAAAAAAAAAGGTCAAAAGTGCTGGTATCTGGAAATCCTGATTTAGAAAGGGATAAATAGTAAATCCTTCATAATATTTACGTTATGGCACCAGGTAAGAGCAATTGTGAGGATGGAATAAAAGCAGAGAGTGTTTAATTCGCTTGTATGTGAGGTCAATTTGAGATGGAACTGACTAGATAGCTCTGAAACAGTATAACAAAAAGTGTTCGTAGTAAGTGGGACTTGCATGGGCTACAAAGGAGCAAAGAGTAAGAGAAGTAAACATTGAACCAGTGTATTGATGAAAGCATTCAACAAATATTTCTTGAACAACAGTTATATGGCAGATACTGACTGCTGGAGATACAACATCACCCTTATGGAGCTTACATTTTAGTGGACGGTGACAGATAATGAGGAACATAACTAGATAATTCTTGCACTTTAATAAAGGCAATAAAATAAGATCCCTTACTAGCAAGAAGCTAGGGACTCGGATAGGGAGAAGTTAAAGAGCTGCTTTAGATTCTGTGGTCAAGAGGCTCTCTGAACTGGCGACACTTGGGCTAAGAACTAAGGGAAGAGAAGAAACGATTCTCTGGGAAAAGTAATGGTGATTTTCTCTTGTGGATTCCAAGAGAAGAGAGAGACTTCTGAGGAAGCTCATGGGGTCAGAAATGTCAAACGCTGTGAAGAGGTTTAACATCTGTCAAATGGGAGGAGATGTGGGGCCTTCAAAGCTGCAGTTTTAGTGGGTGAAAATTTTAATAACTGTTATGAATTTTTTAGTGTGTGTTTGTAAGAGAAGAAAAAGACAAGTAGGCTTGGCATTGCTTAGACATGGCAATTGTGGAATGTTAGGCAGTACTGCAGGGGACCCTGGTAGGGTTCTGTCGGAAGATGTCAAGCACTTGCTCTACTTGACATTTTTCTCCACAAAAAATGAGACATCCCCACACAACATTCAAAACAGCCCAGTGATGGAACGCAAATGCTAATACTAATCATACCTTTTCTTTCTTTTCTTCCCCAGGCTTCACAAGGCTTGCTGCTCAGGCAGTATCTATTGTAATCAGCAAGTTACCTACAGTGATTGCATGTTTGCCTCCCCCAATTAAATACTTCTTTTTTCTGTCTGAGAGAAAAATGTCAAAAAACTTTGTTGAATTGAAGAAAGCTGGCCTGCTTGTCTGGAACTTGATTGTAATTATATGTCGGATATTTGAGGATGGAAACACTGTGGAACTTTTAACAGGTGCCTCCCTTGACAGATGGAGTAAGGAGAAACTCGGTTTAATCTGTGTGTGTTTGGAAAGCATCATGAGAGAGCAGACAAGTAGCCCTAATCAAATGACCCAAAAGGTCATACAGAGCATTGAGCAGCAAAAGCCCAACTGGATTGAATGCCAATTGTTGAAAGCCAGAAAATTGAGCACTGAGTGGTAAGACGATGTTTTTCTTGCACTGAATTTCATCGAAGACATCCACAATCAGAAAGTCACCGATAAACAACAGCAATAACAAACGTGGTCAGATGGGCAGCAATGGCTGTTTAGCTCATTTCATGGGAACTGTGTTAACCACAGAAACAGATGAAGTATTCCACTAAAAAGTGGGTTTCAGAAGTTGCTTGTCTTAGTAAAATTTGAGCCCAACTGATACCATGGAACACTATACTTGTTTAGTCACAGTCTTAAGGTTTCTGATTAAAAGGGTGGTAGCTAAGCCCAAGAGAATTTAGTTTCAGTCCTTTCCAGTGTGCAAACAGGTATCTAGTGGATAGCTTGGAGCATTTTATAAATGGATTGGGCATGGAGATTAAATTAAGATGGAATTAATGGATATAAAAGGTTTTTTATTGCTTTCTGTGTACCTGATTGTCAAAAAGGTACACATTTTTCATCTAGTAATGTAAGAATCCCAGAGGGCAACTGGGGCATATCACACTCAAGCTATAAACACACCCAGCTGTTTCTGTATGAAAATGTCAGCCTTCTCATAGCTTTGTCACCAAGAACTAAGTGATTTGTAGTATTTCAAAGATCTTTAAGGGTCTCTGATACAGTTAAATATTCTCCTGTCTTAAAATTCGTCTTCAGGTATAGAATTGCATGCTATTGATAAAGGAATTCTGGTTCAGATATTCTAGATTACAAAATTAGTCCTATTTTACAGCACCCCATACAATGCCTCCATTCTTTTCAAATATGTGCAGGCATAATAACACGTATTATTATAGTTTTCTTCCCGAAATAATTTGAAATATAGCTAGACTTGCTCCTACATGGTAGCGAGAAAAAGCTTGGGCTTTGGAATCAGACAAGTGCAAATCCCCTACAGGTGTACCATTTTATGCAACTGTGAGTTTTAGTAAGGCTTTAGCTTCAATGATGACACCAGGCTGATAAGAGTTGTTTCACAATATTAGATATCACCCTTAAAAGCGCTTATCATCGAGCTTAGCACTAATGAGCATTTCTTATTTATTGTTACTGCTGTGTGAAGTTTAGTCAATTTTGACTGAGAGGCTAGGAAACAGAGTACAACTTCCCCCATAAAGTTTTCCAATATGTCTCATGCTAGAAAAGATGGAGGGTCAGAGAAAAAAGAAGAATAACCTAGAAAAGATTAACCTGGCGACTGTAGCTAAGGGTGTGGAAAAAATCAGAGATGGTGAGGAGGGCAAGGATAGAGCGAGGTTCATGTCTGCTGTTGTTTTTACCAGTATGAGTCTTCACTCAAAGGTCCCTAACAACAACAACAACATTCTCTGCATTAGCAGGTTGCCAGGTCTTTTGTTGGATTCAAACCACTGAACTTCAAACAAGTAGCTGAGCACCTATGTGTCATTAGAGCTCCTTTTGTTTTTTAAAACCTTGACTGAAATGCATTGTATTCACTGGCTGGTGTTATAAGAACGAAAAAAAATTCTACTTCTTACTATTAATCTATGGCATTTCATTAACCAATAGGGAGAGGAGGAAATTGTGGTTTTCCTGGTGATGACATCCAGTCACCTAGAGATTTGCTTTTAGGTGCTCCTGAGTAGAAATAACAACAGGCTGATGCTGAGTAACATTGACTATGGCCTTCTAAATCTTTACATTTGCTGAATACCCATTAAAGGGCTTTAATCTGTTGACTGAAAGATTAAGTCTAGATATCATTATCCATAGCAGTAAAAGAAGCAAACAAACAAACAAAAAATCAAAAGGTGAAAAATAGTGTACGTGATTATAATTCCTATTTTAGATTTGTGATATTGCTGGTTCATCTTTCAAATAAGATCTATATAAAACCATGTCTAAATAACATGCCCAAGACTACATAACACTCCCTCATTGAATTTTTCCCTTAAAGTTTATTTCATTTTTAATTTTGTGAACCAACACACATAGTATCCTATAAGCCCACAGCCTTTGAATTAATGCAGACTCATAGTGACCCTGCATCAGGTTTCCAAGGCTGTAGCTCTTTGGAGGAGGAGACTACGTATATGTCTCTTATAGAGTGGTTGGTGGATTTGAACCTTGGCCTTTTGGTTAGCTGCCCACCATACTAGGTCACCAAGGCTCTTTAAGCTAGCTGATGTTGTTAGGTGCCATCAGTTGCCTACATCACACAGTGACCCTATAAACAACAGATCAGTACCTTGTCTAATCCTATGCCATTCTCACAGTTGCCTCATTGTTGTTGTTATTGTTTATATGCTATCAAGTCAGAACTATGTCATAACTGATCCCTCAGCGGGTTTTCGGAGGCAGTAAATCACAAGGAACGGGGTTCCTTCCACAGAGCAGCTGGTAGATTTTCACCTAGTGCTTTTTAGCTGACAGCACAGCTCCTTAGTATTATGCCACCAGGGCTTCCTCAGATCTCTTATACTAAGTATTATTTGGCAAAAGATGACTTAGTTGTCTCTTACCACATGCATCAAAAATGAATTTCTTATTCCTTAAAATGTTTTACAGCCTGCCAAGATTCTGAGTCATTTTAATTAGCAAATGCTCTCTTTCTCAATTTCTCAGATGTTATCAATATACAAAACTTCAGATTTAAAGTTATTTTTTTTATTATTTGAAAGAGGTTGAAATTGACTTATGTCACTTTTCATAACAAGCCCTTACAGGTTTCTGGCACTCTAAGAATGTTACCTCTTGACTTTGAACTCAAATACACAAATGAACTTTCATTTCTTACAAATCATTGACAGTTTATCATAGTCTATTCTACAATCCATGGTAAGAGGGAAAGTGTGTTTTAAACCAGGAAGTCTATCTAGGTGGAATGTTGCCTTGGCTTTACCATATTTTGTAAAAAAATATAAGCAGTTAAATGAAAATAGCTCTGCTGTCAGATAAATGAAATCTTAACTCACCATCAAGATTGTGTTGGGATAACATGCTATCATTGAGCTAGATTTCTTTCACTTGCATCCAGGTTTAACTTAGATTTTATGGAAATTGTGAAAACAATGGCAGTGGAAAAGGTGGCAGCTGTGAGCCTTTCCTGTCTTGCACACTGCCTGAAAGCATTACTATTCATTAAAATAACCTTCACTTTGTAGTAACACCCAAGCTGTAAACAGTCAACTTAGATTCTGGAGAACATACAGCCCAAAAAGTAAAGAAATGTCTGTCTTTGCAAAGTAATTTGTCGAGTTGAAGATTATTGTTTTTCATCATGGTGACCCTGACTTGGCTGGCTGGGTGCATATACAGATTAAGATTAATGCAGTTATTCCTTGGCTAAGGTCTGCCTCTTCCAGGGCACATTCTCCCTAATGACATGATTGATAGGCAGTCCCAAATCCAGAGAGGAACTCATTAATCATAGCATTGACTGAATCCAATCATTTGCTTCACCTGCACAGTGATGGACAGGAAAGGATACAATTCAGGGACTGACACTGAGACACTCCTTTGTCAGAGGACCTCAACTTTTTCAATGTCAGCCTTGACATAACCTGACAAGAAATTTTGCTTGCAACCTGTGTGCAGCTACCAAAAGATTTGGAGATTTTATATATATATATATATATATATTGTTGTAACAAAGTCTTTAGAGATTTACTGTAACTTATGAATACCTCTAAAACAGAGTAGTATTTGCTTTCAATTTTAACAAGACTTATATA